ACTATTGTTTTTGTTGATTTCTAGTTTTAATGTGTTGTGATCAGATAGACTGCATGGGATTATTTCTATTTTCTTATATTTGCTGAGGCTTGCTTTGTGCCCTAAGATAATTTTGGAGAAGGTTCCATGGGTGCTGAGAGGAATGTATATTGTGCGGAAGTTGGATGAAATATTCTGTAGACATCAGTTAGGTCCATTTGATCTATGGTGTGATTCAGTTCTAGAATTTCTTTTTTCATTTTTTGTTTGGATGACCTATCTATTGGTGATAGGGGAGTATTAAGGTCTCCCACTACCATTGTGTTAGAGTTTATATATGCTATTAGGTCCTTCAGAGTATGTTTGTTGAAATTGGGTGCATATAGTTTGATAATTGTTATTTTTCTTTTTGGTGTATTTCCCCTTTTATTAGTATGGAATGTTCTTCTTTATCTCGTTTGATCAATGTAGGTTTGAATTCTACTTTGTCAGAGATAAGTATTGCTACTCCTGCCTGCTTTTGGGGGCCATTGCCTTGGTAAGTCTTCTTCCAGCCTTTCACCTTAAGCTGGTGCTTGTTTCTGTCAATGGGGTGGGTCTCCTGCAAACAACAGATTGTTGGACCTTCCTTTTTAATTCAGTTTGCCAGACAGTGTCTTTTGATGGGGGAGTTAAGTCCATTAACATTCATTGTTAATATTGATAGGTATGTGGTGATTCCTGTCATTTAGTTGTTTTTGTTGTTTAAGGGTTTGATTGTGTGCAGCTGAATTGATGTTACTCTCTGATTCCTTGTCTTTTATTCTCCTGTGGTTTGGTGCTGCCTGCCCTCTCATGGGTTTTGTTTGCTTTCATTTTCTTTGTGTAGATTTCCTTGAAGAATCTTTTGTAGTAGTGGGTTGGTGGTCATATATTGTTTTAGTTTCTGCTTATCATGGAAGATTTTTATTGCTCCATCTATTTTGAATGATAGTTTTGCTGGGTAGAGTATCCTAGGGTTGAAATTCTTTTCATTAAGTGTCCTGAATACCTCACTCCATGCCCTTCTTGTTTTTAAGGTATCCATTGAGAAATCTGCTATGATTTTGATGGGTTTACCTTTGTATGTTATTTGTTTTTTCTCTCTTACAGCCTTCAATATTCTTTCTCTGTTCTCTGTGCTTGTTGTATTAATGATAATATGTCCTGGGGTAGTTCTATTTTGGTCAAGTCTGTTTTGTGTCCTGGAGGCTTCCTGTACCTTAATGGGCATAGCTTTCTCTAGGTTTGGGAAGTTTCCTGTCATTATTTTGTTGAATATATTACAAATCCCTTTTGTTTGCACCTCTTCTCCTTCTTCAGTGCCCATGATTCTCAGGTTTGTTCTTTTGATGGAGTCAGTGAGTTCTTACATAATCCTTTCACAGGTCTTGAGTTGTTTGATTAATAGTTCTTCAGTTTTTCCTTTAATTTCCATTTTATCTTCAAGTTGGGAGATTCTGTCTTCTGCTTGTTCTAGTGTGCTGAACTGGCCTTCCAAGGTTGTGTTTTGTATTTCTGTTTCATTCTTTTTCTGAGGTCTTCCATATCATGGGTCACTTCCTCCTTAATATTGTCTATTTTCATCTTTAATTCATTTAGCTCTCCATAGTGTTCTCGTTTCACTTTGGTGTTTATTTAGGGCTCTGATGAGTTCATTTATTTGTTTCTGTGTCTTCTCATATTTTTTATTTTTGGTGTCTTGAAATTTCTTGAGTGCCTCTTATACATTTTGGTTAACCAACATCTTCATGATATTCTAGTGATTACTTGGCAGGATTTCTTCTTTTAGGGTGTGGGCATTGTTGGGTTCCTTGGTATCATTTATCTTTGTTTTGTTGGAGTCCCGAATTGGGTATCTATTTTCTTCATTTCCCTCTGAATCCTGTTTGGTTTGCCAAAAGTCTCCCAAGCAGGTTTGGAGCTGGCTTCTGGCTTCTGGCAGTGATGGGAGCACTCGTGTTTTCTCAGTGTAACATGGCATGGAGAAGCTTTCCATGGGCAACAGATTTAGGGTGTCGAAATTTTGATTCCCCTTACTGCTTTATTTCCTCCAGCATCTCAGCAAGGTTTTGGAATCACGGAGCTCACGCTTTCTGCTTCTGTGCCCTAGTCACCGTCTTGGATCTCCTCATATGTCTTAACACATGAAGAAATTAATATAATTTCTGGGAGTGATGAAAATAAAGGTGATTGGTCTCAACTGGACCAAGAGCCAGGTGGACCTCCTGATGACAGGCTGCCTCCTGCAGCAGGAGCACAGGAGAAAGACAGCCCCTGGCAGACTTACCCCAAGTGCTCACAGTGTGAGAGAAAAAAAAGTGGGCTTCCTTACTTCTTTCTTTTACCAGCTTCATAAAAACTCCATCAGTGAGTTATATCCCGTTTTTTTTAGTTAAGGATTTTGTATCAGGTTTGGTTGGGTATTTTTCCTCCTTAAGTGATTTTATTGTTTATACTAATTATAATGAAAATTCTAGGGGTTATGTTGTTGTGATCACTTAAGTCTTAAGTACTTCCATGTATGTGCTGCAAAATTATCCCTGGAAGCCCTGCTTCTCTTCTTGAGAACCTAGTCCAATGTGCTAATTTCGTATGCTGGGGGAATCACTTCTGTTAACCTTCTATGTCTAATTTACATAAGGAGAAAACAGTTCATTCTGTCTATTCAGCCTATAGCTATGCTATGGCTGTCTCTGGATAGAGATAAAAAAATGCCTACATTGTTATTTTTAATCCTTTGAGATTGACATCTGCAGCTGAATAGTGGGTGTTCCTGACAAGAATCAGAAATTCTACATCATGCAGAGTACAGTTTTGAGTGCATTGCATGCAAACCTGTGCAAACACTGTCTTTAGATAGCTCAGTTCCTAGTAGGAATGCCCTCAGTTCACACTTTCCCTCAAATCTGGATGACATACTCTTAGGTAGTAACTATATACCAGAAGCTGAGGTTGCTCTGGTCTTCCTCACCACAGAAGTATGAACTCAAATGATTCTAAGGTGTTCTTACTTTCAACCATGATATTGGGAGCATCAATATTGAGTAGTGTTCTTGCCGTCCTTCTTCATGCACTCACTGTATAGCAGAAGCCAAAGGATTGTTGAAATAAGCTTTACATATTTTGCTAAAGCAATTATTGGGAAAGAGTTTGCAATCAAAGATATTCTTAGTTTCAAGTCACAGTAGATGAAGAAGTCACACACATAAATTGCTTACCTTAAGTTTACTAATATAAATATGACAAGTGCAGCTAAGTATTCCTCAGAAAGTCTCACACTCTGTAATCCCCTTTCCCACTCCTGCTTGCTAATGTGCTTATCCCAATTTGAACAATATAAATTTAGCATAAGCTTATTCTTTGTGAGATTTGGGAACATTTAACTGCCTCTGAGTAATTCAACTTACAGTTCCCTACTGTCACATCAGACTTGCCACATATTACCCTAAAACTTCCTCTCCTTTCTGACATCATTTATGTAATAAATTCATTCATTTATTTTATTTTATTTATTTACCATAGAACCATTCTGACTTCTTTTCTTCTTCTGTACTACCTAAATTCAGACTCCAGTTTATTCATTTATTCAGTAAAATTTGAGTACCTTTTTTGTACCAGAGTGTTAAGAGTAGTTCCAAGATTTCTACCTTCCTGAAACTCACGAGCCTTATTAACTCTGACTTGGTAATATATTTCATATCTACCTTTTTTAAAGAATTGTTTCACATCAGAAAAAAATCATAGGAATTTCCTAATTGGAGTTAGGACATGCATATGTTTGCCAAATTAATCTTTCTCACATATTTCTTATAAAGTTTTACTGGCATTTAATTCTTTAATAATGAAAATGTATTACTTTTGTGTAATTTGGCTATCTTCAAAACACTTTCATAGCTGTTGACTGTTTCCTCAGACTATGACTAGGTAGTAATATCCTTACTTTGTTAGATGCAAAGACAGCTGGTAATTGCTAGAACCAGAACTCAAACTCTAGCTTTTCAAAAGCCTACATTTCCTTCTGTTGACATCAAATCTTTGCCACCTTAAAGATCCTCAAACATCTTGCTCTGGTACATTTTGCTGTATCGAGCTGATGCTTTTGTTACACACACTGCACTGTAGCTATGTGTATTCCTGTTAGTCTTTGAATATGAGTTCCCTGCTTCTTTATCTTGGTTGACTATGTTTTGCAAGAGCAGTTTATGTTTTTAACATAACATAATGATTGAGGAAAAAGTCTGTGTATTCAAAGTGCTATCACCTCAAAGTCAAAGTAGAATTTGGGTTTGTTTTTTTTCCAACAGTAAAAATAGTTAAAAGCTGGGTGTCATGGCCCACATCTATAGCTACTTGGGAAGCAGAGTTAGTAGGATTGTGGTCCAAGAGTGGCAAAAGCATGAGACCCTATCTGAAAAACTAACTTTAAAAAAAAAAAAGCAAAAGTACTGGGGTCATGGTAGAGTCTTTCTAGGAAGCCCTGAGTTCAATCTGTAGTTACCCTGAAAAGAAGAAAAAAGTAGCACACAAAAATAAATTATTGACATTTGCTTACAACTACTTTAATTGTATATTAATTTACTCACTTTCCATTGAGTTAATTCTAACTCATATTTTTTCTAATGTGTTTTTAATTTCTGAGTTGCTGCTTTTTCTCATCCTTCTCACCACCCTTGCTCTTCTTTGCATTTTCCCTCTTTTTCCTTCCACTTCTCTTCTCTTCACTTTCAACCCTGCCATCCTCCCCAATTTAATATGTTGAATTTGGTAGAATTTGCATACAAACTTTCTTCTTTTTCTTATTTCTGTATATGTTATTCTTTCCAACTAGATTAAATGCTTATAGAGGACAGAATTCTGGTTTTTACATTTAAATAAATCTAGAATAGTTTCATACATAAAACTATTCTTGTATGATTTATTTATGTATAACTTTATAATTACATAAGGCAATCAATTAATTGAAAATGGATTTTAAAAATAACACATTTTCCTTTTTTCAGAGTTAAAAACTCACCACTTAAACAATCTCCAGGTTATCAGACAGAACTTGTTATTCAGTTGGTATGGGTCAGTGGAGAACCACCGCAACAGATAACCAGCCTGGCAGTCAATTCTTCCTATGGATTGTAAGTATATGTTAGGTTTTTTCCCATTTCCTTATAGGTTTCCATACATTATTTCACTTTTCAAAGTAAAAACGGTGGACTTTATTGTATTATCCCCTAAAATGTTGCTAAATAACTTTAATTTCACTAAACTTAATGTTTTTTGGAGGATAATTTTGTTCTAAATAATTTATTCTAGATCTGCTGCTTCCTTATATAAAGTAAACATTTCATGGGCCAGTGAAACATTTGAGATAAACTTATAAAATCAGTATATCTTCTCCTGATTGTATCCCCAGGATAATTTTCTTAAAATAATACATTAACGTTTAGCAACATGAACCTGGAAGACTATGTTTCAAACTGATTCTGTAACTACTAAATTGTAATTTTGTCACTTATTCTCTCTACTTCCAAAGTTAACTTGTATAAATTGTAAAGCCATCATAGTAGTTTGCCAAAGTGTTAATCTATACAACAACTATATTTTATTTAATTATCTGTTTAAGCCTTTGTGCCTTTGGGTATATAGTGCTAATTACACATATTTTTATTATAATATGGTAGGCCTGTAAGGCATTTGTTGGGTTTTTTATTTCAAAAATCCATATTGCAGTTACAAAATCACTTCCAAACTCTGTTTCTAGCAGTTTATCATGTGCAGGTTTTTGTTTTTCCTTAGGGATTCTTTTATCTTTTGTATTTCTGGTAGCTCTCTTCACCTCATCTATCTCCTGCACTTGTACATTCAACTTAGACTGGTTATAGTCTGATGTAGTCTCCTCTGGTGTCTTTTACTGCTTGTCTTAACAATGTAAGAGCACATATCTCCTCCTTTTAAACATTTTATTTTCCCAACCCATAAAGGAAACAAAAAGGGAATAAGGAAAAGGAAATTTCAAAATGACTTACAAGTCAGTTTATTAGAGGTCTCATGGGGTACATAGATGTGTTTTGTTTGGTTCTCTCTGTGCATTTTTGAAATTTGAATTAGTTGGCAGGACTACGTAATACGTAAACCCATATTTGAAGCTTCAACTAATAAATCTAATTACCTGACCCACTTGTACACATACTGTGTGGCAGTAGTCAGCTGGACCTGAGTTGATGGTTTTCCTCTAGGTATAGCATACACTTTTCAAGTCACCCTCACTTCTTTCCTGGTGTCTTTTACTAGTTACTTAGCTCCTCTGTACATGTCAGCATTCAACTTCTGGCTTATGAGATCTTAAAAAAAAATAATAATCCTTTATTCAAAGTAGATAGTTTGTAGTGCTTGATCCATGATTAAAAAGATATTTTGAACACCTCTTAAACCTTGTTTTTATTTTATTTATTTATTTTTTGGTGGGACTGGGGTTTGAACTCAGGGCTTTGCATTTGCAAAGCAGATGCTCTACCACTTGAGCCACACCTCCAGTCCATTTTGCTCTGGTTATTTTGGAGATGAGGTCTTGAGAACTGTTTTCCAGGGCTGACCTCAAATCTCAGTCCTCATGATTTCAGCCTCCCAAGAAGCTAGGATTACATGTGTGAGCTGCTGGTACCTGGGTTCTTTTTATGCTTCACAGTAGAGATTATCAAAACTTTCCCCAATTGTAAAATTCCTTGTTTTCCTAGTAGAAGGGACTTTATTCTGAAGTGCTCAAAATGCTTTCAATGCAGAAGAATGGATATTACATTGCCTAGAATGGATATTGATATTTCTGAACAAATTGAAATGTACACAGGAGATTTAAGTAGTTCCAGGAGCTGCATACTTAACCTATATTTCCATGTCCCTGGTTGTCTTTTGTTTTACAGAAGAATTTTCTGAAGGACCTTTAACCTTGTAGACCACATTACATTATCTTTGTTGTACTAAAATGTTTACTTTTTTCCTATTCCCAGAGTGGTTTTTGGCAACTGTAATGGCATTGCCATGGTTGACTACCTCCAGAAAGCAGTACTGCTCAACCTGGGAACCATTGAGTTATATGGCTCAAATGATCCTTATCGGAGAGAACCACGATCTCCGCGTAAATCTCGACAACCTTCAGGAGGTAAAAAGAAAAAAAAATCCTGAGCTTTAGGGTTTCTATAAATGCTGATTTACTTCTGTGAATACAAGTGCTTCAGTTAGGTAAATTGCTTTTCTGACTATTTATCTAGGCAAAAGGTATGAATCTTGTTTTGTATTGGTTTTGCTTTTGTTTTTAATATTCTAAGATTCCAATTAATGTTGAGAAAGAACCATAGTAATACAGTTCTTTATCAAAGTTACAATGACAGGAATATTTATCTCATTATTATAGAACAAAATTTGATTTCAGAGTTCTTGGCTTTTGTATTGTTTGTCTCCGTGAGACCAAACAATTGTTTCAGCAATTTAACTCAAAGGAATCATTCCTGTGTTAAAAAATACGGATTCAAAAGTAATTATATTATGTGTATATAATATTCTCAGTTAGCCTTGATTCAATGCAAGCCCATATTCAATTAAAATTCTCTTTATAGCATCTTTTTGTGTTTGCTAGGTCTTAATTTTAAATGTTTTAGCATTAATAACCTCATAGAGCACATATGTATAGTTCACTATCTGTCCAGTACCTCTGGCCTGTTTTTCTTAATGGTGTATGTGGCATTAATACACGGCATACAGGGTATACCAGTAACACCTCCAGAAGTAATTGACTTGTTGGCTTCAGTTTCCCCTGGGCCTGTCTGAAGACCAAAAATTGAGGAAAACCCTGTTTAGGACATGTTTAACTCACTTGCAGATATTAGTGTGCATTGGAGTACTGTTTAGAAAATGGGTTTATACTTTGTGACCTAATCCCTCTGAATTAAAATTCTCTGTGAGCTCAGGGTGTGTAGCTCAGTGGCCAAACACTTGCCTAGCATCTATAAGGGCCTGGGCTTGATTCCCAGTATGGCTAAGTAAATAAATAAATAAAATAAAGCGAAAAAAGTTCTGTCTAAAATTCATTTTTCAGTTGCTCTCTTATGGCAGAAAATACATAAATAAAGCAAAAAGTAAATAAAATTTTTTATGAAATACATTTTTCAGTTGTTCTCAATACCTTATTACTAATAGTACCAATTTTGTAACACATGAGAAAAGGAGAAAAAAGTAATACAGATCTTTTTACTATTTTGGCTTAATGGTTGAATTTTTCTTTGCGAAGTTTTGCATTTTTGTTTGTGAGTCTGATCATTTTGTCCTGTAATAACTTCAGCAGAGATTGCTGTTCCAGCCATTCCATTCTAGTCTCTCTGTCTCCTTTCTTCCCATTTCGCTTTTCATTGCTTCACTAAGGTGTGCTGATTATGACTTCTTGCATGTGCGGCCTTTCTAACTTTTATTCTGAATCTGTGAAAAAACTCCGTTCTTCTTTTTTAAGTAAGTCATTTATGTCTTGGCATGTTGACTCTTTGTATGTTAAATCATTATTTTTTTTTCTCATTTGTTTATAAAAAGGGTTATTAACTAAATTCTTTTATATCTAAAGATATATTCTCATTAGATTCATAGCAGGTATTTTATACGATTTCTTTGTAAAACAAAGAAATATTTGCATTAGAATATTTAGCATTAGAATATTTGAACATTATTATGGCAGAGAAGCTTTTCTGGAGGATTAAAAACTTCTGGAGGATTAAAAAAGTTTTACACTGGTAAAACTTTACTAATCCTTAAATTAACTAATTGCTTTGTTTATATCTTATAGTAGTTTACATGAAGTTGCTAGTAATTTTAAGGCAAAATCTAAGAATAGAGACCAGTTTTACCATGCAATTAAAAATTGTTTTCTTAAATTTCACTGCAATTACTTCATTCTGTGTTAAACTCCATAATATTTATTATTTGCTTCATTTTATATTGAAGAATTAGATGTTAGGAGAACTATAGTTTAAGATGCTTATCCATCATTATTGGGCCTCACTTTATCAATACTCAGGGTTTCTTAAATAAAAATGATAAGAATTAGGGCTAGAGATGTGGCTCAGTAGTAGAGCATGTCCTTAACGTACTGAAATACTGGGCTCGAACCCCAGCACTACAAAATAACAATAATACTACTAATAATAAATAAAAGTAAGAAGTGTTTTAAAATAACATCTTAAGAATATTTTTGCCTTGAGCTCCAAAAGATATTTATCTATTTTTCAAATAAAATTAATTATAGAATAATTGATAATAAAATTCTTTATTTGCATTGATATAAAAATGATATTCTTGCTGAAGTGTAATGTTATTTAGATGTAATCCAAATGTTATTAGATCATTCTTCATCCTTTTTTAATAGGTCAGTTTGAATGGAAAATTTGTTTAGTACTAATAGATACTTATGTATTTTTATTGAGAATCCAGTGTCACTCATGAATTTATTTTATAAGATAAAACATTAGTCTTTAATTTTTAATGTGTTACAGCTGTACTTCAATACAGCTGAACTATTGACTAAAATACGAACTGTGGAATTATAAAACTACCATATAGCTGGTATGATTCTGCTGACATGAAACTTAGGATCATATATATCTTGTTTTGCTGCTCAGTTTATCATTCAAAAGGTGAAGGACACACAAAGGAAATTTCTATCCTGATGCCCAAATAAGCTCTGATCAATGAGGAGGAAGTGATGAACACATGAGAAAAAGTGTTTGCTTACTCTTGGAAGCTGATAACAATAAAGAAGGAAATTAGACGCAGAAATCCATATTTAGATTTTAGAAAAGCTTTTCCCCCCCCAAAGCTATGGGTAGAATTCTGTAGAAATGAGCACTGTTTTGTTTGGTTTTTTTTACTGTAACTCTAATTATTTTGAACTCTTCAGTATTTTCAACAAGATAGAAAAGAAGAAATAGCTGTGGAACTCAATAATATGAGCTGAAAACTTCTTTGCTTATATGTGTATTGTGAGAAACAAAAATACTACAGTATTTCTTCTCACCTGCAGGGGATATATTTCAAGACCCCTCCAGTGGATGCCTGGAACCATAGGTTGTTCCCAATCGTATATACATATACTACATTTAGTCCTAGACACACACAGTTATGATAAAGTTTAATTTAGAAACTAGGCACAGTAAGATTATTCCTAATAAAGATTAATTACATAATTATGTAACAATATACTGTAGTAAAAGTTATGTATATGTAGCCTCTCTTTCAAAATATCTTATTGTATTGTACTAATCCTTCTTGAGAAGATATGGGATAATATTTAAAATAAATACCTTATGACTTTTCTTTGGCAAACCGGCATCACTCTTATTGTGAGTTAGTTGACCACAAATACTGCAATAATGCTACCTTACATCCAATAAGGGAGACAGCTCTGGAGTGACTAACAGACAAGAAGCATATATATTATGCTGGCATATTGATTCACATCCTGTGTAGGACAGTGAAAAATTTCATCACACTACTCAGATTAGTGCCTAATTTAAAACTTAGGAAATATTGTAGAATTTTCCATTTAACATTTTGAGACCTTAGTTGACCAGAGTAACTAAAACCATAGAAAGTGAAACTTGTGTGCATGTGTGTGAAATAAGGGACACAATTAAGAAATGTATAACAATGTTGCATAGACCAGTAAGTACTGTGTGAAATTGTAAGGCTGATTTCTAAATAATGAGAAATGTAACAAAACATGTACAAAAAATGTACATGTTACAAAAAATGTAACAATGAAAATAGGGTAAAGAAAGGGTTAGAACCCCAATTTAGGGATGGTTTTAAATGACAGTTGAAAAACAGAGGTAGAACTAAATAGCTTTGTTTCTCACCTCTCCACTAAAAAGAATGATTTTTCTCTCTGGAAAATGTGAAAACTAAGAGAAATTAAAGCACAATCTACTTCATGTCAATAAGGCGTACCAAACAATAATGAATGGAAATTTATGAATTTAAAAAGTACCCTAAATTGGTGAGAGTCCACTATTTTACATATCTGTTAATTCGATGTACAAATTAGTCACAATTCTAAAATGAGTTGCTCTGTAACTGATGCCTTGTATGCATATAGAAAATGAAGATGATAGTGAATGTCATGTCAGCAGAAGCTCACTAAATGTAAGCTTAGTGAGCAGAATTGATTATACTTTTTAATCTGATGGCTGATGGTGTATGACAGTCTGTTGACATAACATCTCTTGCTGTTAATGAGGTATTTGATAAAGAATTCTGTAATACTTTGGTGAATGACACAGGTTTCAGTGACCCAATATCTAATTCAGCTTGACAATTTCCAAGATGCTTCAAACCTTGAGTTAGCAAAATGCTGCCTGTGGATCAAGTCTGGTTTACTGCCTGAGTTTGTAAATGCAGTTTTATTGGATCAGTGTCATGTTAATTTGTTTGTGCCCTAACATTAACCTTGAATGCCTTAGTTAATATATTTTGTTGGATAATACGTGGTTTGTTTATTGAATAGTTTCAATAGTAAATCAAGCTTCCTATATGAACATTTGAAAGAGATGGTGAGCTTATCAAAATTGACACCATTTAAAGTGTAATTACTGCATTTCTTGGCCGAATAGACTTTAAAAGTTATTTATAGATAGGAAACTATAGTTTCTATCCTGTTTTTAACTCTGTGATACTAAAACAGCTATGTTTCTGAGGCTGTGCATCCTCGTTTGTATAATGGAGGTAATTACTCCTTTTGAGAGTTGGTATAATCACTGAGATAGCATGTGTGATATCTAATCATGTGACCGGCACATTGTTGGCACTCAAGGTTTTGTTTTATTACTATCGACCACAACAGTATATGTTAACAACATAACAAAACTGCTGGATAACTAATGTAAGAAGTGTGGGATATTCATAATTATATTTCTGTTTATGTTGTAATTCCTCTTCATTTTTAAAGTAGGTTATTTTTAAAAGGTAAAAGTTTATCTAATGTGTGGAGCACTTTCCACAGGTAAAAATATCTCTTAACAGTGGCAATGACTGTCTCCAGATATAAATTCAAACTATAAAGGAGTTGTTATAAACCAAATTCACTACTCAGTGTTCTCCAAAAACGTTACTGTAAAAGCTTGCTTCATGAGTGTAGAGATTGTGGCATTGTGCCTTACATGAAAGTAATGGGAAAGCAAGTACTTGTCAAACATGCTCGTACATGGATGTGTCAGCTGACTTCTTCCAAGATGCAGACATGTAGTCCCTTGTCTATTGCCTCGCCTAGTCCAATGGATATATCTTTATTAATAATTTTTAAGTAGTTTGCAAGGAAATGTTTTTCATTTCAGTCACCCAGCCAAATTAATATTCATATTAATTGTCTACTTTGTATTTTACCATAGCTTTTAGCTCTTCTCTATAACATAAAATATTTCAGTATAATTTCTGCTAAGAATTTAGGACATTATTTAGAATAGATTAGTTTCATGTAATTCATATTTTGTTACAGGTCTTTAAAAATGTAATATTATGGCTTTTAAGATATATAGCCCTTCAAGATATGTACAATGTTTTAAGTATTAAAATTTGGAGCTACAAAATATTTTCTTAATTATTCGAAAATATTTAAGGGTGATATTCAAGAGGAAACTATTTTAAAGTTTGAGTTGAAAACTCTTGTGATGTAAAAATTACAAAATTTATAAGTGTTTGTTCTTCCTTTAAAAATTCAAAAAGGAATATATAACTTTCCTCCACACTTTTGATTTTAAACAAAATCTTGTATCATAGCTAATATCCTTGAGAATAATAAATTATCTCATTGAAAAGTCTTTCCTCTGAACTATGTTTTCATTTGTTTAGCTGATTACTGTTAAATTAGCTTGAGATATTTTAATATCAAAATATTCCCATCTCAAACCTCATGAGAATAACATCAGCAACAATCGTGTTGGGTTTTTTCAAATGAATAGCAGTAAATGTACACTGTAAATGGGAGATAACTTCACTGCTATGTGAAGTTATGTGATGTGATTTTTTTTTGTTTTGTTTTTAGCAGGTCTATGTGACATTAGTGAAGGGACTGTTGTCCCAGAGGACCGCTGCAAATCTCCAACTTCTGGTAATCTGGTTTTTATCTCATTAAGAATTATGATTTTATGAAAACCAAGATGACATATGAATGTTTTTATAGATGAATGCATAATATATACCTATAAGAAACTTGTGTCACATTTGTGTCCTTAAAATCATAACTTTATTCTTTGCATCATGATTAAATGAAGAGAAATGCAGCTTTGCTGGTAAAAATACATACCTTTTATCTGTTCATAGTCATATAATTGTTTACTTAACTTTCTAATATTTACGCTGTTAGAGAAAATATATTTTACTCCTTCCCATTGGATCTAATGTTTTAGTTATCTGTAATCTGTGCCTTACTCTAGCTGCTGTGGGCTTTATGTAGTAGTTTGGAGTAGTAAGAAAGAAAAGTTCATCACGTAATCTACTTTTCTTTAGTCCTTGAATACTATCCATTTAAATGTTGTGACAGATTTTTTTTGTGCAGTGCTAAGGATCAAACCAAGGACCAACCACTCTTTTACCACTAAGCTACACCTCTAGCCCTAAATGTTGTAAAAGATTTTTGATATTTATAATCTAAGGATGCATGTAGACAATGAGGATAATTGTATACCACTTAGATTTGTTTTGGGTTTTATCAAAATAATTTCTGATATATTTATTACCTTATTAAAGCAATTCTCTTTTATTTCCAAATGGACTTTTGTGTGACTTGTGTATGTATTAACATTACAAAGGAGCATAACTTTGAGAACCATTGCAGTTGAGATCTTAAATTTATTATTTTCTTGGATGAAAACTTTCCTACTTGACTTCTTAATTTTAATTATACTCAATTTTTTCTGACTGGGACTTTTCATCAGATTTCTACTGGAAAGACAGTAATATAAGTAACATTATTCTTGAGTTTTCAACCATTAGTGTTTCTTCTGCATCAGAAAGAATTGTAAGAATGGGACATACTGAGCAGGATATTTTATTCCCTCTTATTCAGTTTTTCTTTTATTAATCTAAGTGTTAAATCTTTCATGTTACTTTGTTTTTACAATTGCTTTTCCCTGATGTTCCACAAATTGATCATTTGTTTAGGTTAAAATATATCCACATATTTTTAATTCTTTAAACTTGCTATTTAAGTTTGCTCTTAAATTAATAAAGCATATAGAGCCACAGGAACCACGTTGGTAACTAATATTAAATCTTAACCTTAGTAGAACAAAGTTTAAATGAATAACATAAACTGAATAATTGTTTTCTATCTCACAGGACTGGAGTTCTTTCTAAATTTGGAAATTATTGTTGTAATATCTTTTCATTATTACTCTTCTTTCTCTAACTCTGCACAATGTAATTCTGATCTTCTTACCTTCCTAAAAGGCAACATGAATGCAGTTGTCAGTATGTTAAGGATATAAGTGAAAATGGATAATTTCAACATGTAACATGTTAGATATTAAATGGTTATCAAATTTGTTTTAGTAAGATTCAGCCTAGGTAAATTAATACTCCTTTTTATCCTAAACCCAAACTTTCAAAAGGCATGTATGTCTAGAAATTTAGAATTACCAGGTGAGAGAGAATTGTAGAAAATAAAAGGATATTTAAATATAAATATATAAATATAAAAACTGCATAAAGGTTTACTCTAAATTCCAGTCCAAAGCCCTCTAAATTCTGTCTTCCTCATATTAGAGAAACTCAAGTATGGGTTCAACATTTTAAAATGCATTTTGCTTTCCACCCATGTGAAAAGACAGTATAATTTTAATATGCAGAAATCCACATGACACTAAATCTTGTTTCTATCTTTGTTAGTTTGAAATGCAAAGTAAAAGTTGTGACCTCAAAACATCATTGCTAAGTCACAAATCCTTAAAATATAGAACCCATAATTTATCTAGTTTAGCCTTCAATTATGCACTGAGAGATGTAAGAATTGTTTGAGGAATTATGTCTATTTCTCCATGTCAGGAAAGATTGCTTTTAAATGGCAAACTGTCATAGGCAATAATTGTGTCTGAAACATGTTTCACATGTCACTCCTGCATAGTTACTAGGAGAATTACAATAGAAGCTAGAATGAGATCCTAATAAGCTACCCTTTAAACACTTTTCTTATGACTTATGTAAGTTTTTCTGTACTTGCCTGTTTTGAGATAGTTAGTAGTAATCTTTGCTGTCATGGTTAATTGTCTTTTTTTTTTTTTTTTGGCATATTTACCATTTTCCACCTTCATCCTTGTTAGCATTCTAATTGGGAAATAAAGGAATTTGTTATCACTCAGTCTCAATAATGCAAATTCATTCAAAACAGAATTTGAACAGAGTATGGCTCAAGTGGTAGAGCACCTGCCTATCAAGCGCAAGTTCCCAAGTTCCTCCAGTAACTAACACATAAGCACACGCGCACACACACATATGCACACACATACACACACATGAATTTGTTCAAAAAAGAATAATGGATTGAATGAACTTGAGATAAATCCAAAAAGCCTCAATTTTCATGCTTTAATATGAAAATCAGTAATTAAAGTATAGCCTCAAATACTTTCTGCAATGAGATAGGATATAAATAAATAAAATAATTAAATGACATATAAATTATTAAACCCAATATAGTTAATTCCTTCCTGTAGAGGAAAGGAAGAAATGTATAAAAGTGGATTGGAAATTTAAATGAGTTTTTCGTAAATACTCAGATGATGATCAGTATTATAACATGTAAAGTCACCATATGCCTTCTATCAAAACCAATGTGTTTACTTAAAATTAATTTGTAAAAAGGAGAAAATTTTGAAAAGCTTTTAAATCCCATAATTTCAGCTGTTTAATTAATATGAAAGCTCTCTTCAGAAAATATAGTGAGAAAATACAAATAATAAATATTTTGCCTTTCCCTTTATTTTTAAGTAAACCAGCAGTCCCTCTGAAAAAGAAAGTTAATTCTGTCTATCAAATATATGCATTATGAACAAATGAAAGTGACCTTTATTTCACGGAACTCAGATATCTTCACTGAGCACATTTAGTAATGATGGAGTTTGTAATGCATCTATATGTATACATATGTAAATATATTATGTTAGAGAGATTCCAGAAATATGTTTGTCTTTTTTTAAATGAAGGGCCACACATATCATGATATAAATGTTGCCTTAAGGAGTTACTATTTAACCTGGAAAAAAAACAATAAGCTGTAGAAATTTTAGATGTTTATTTAATTATAATATTTTGGTAAATTTATTCAAGTAGAATGTATTGAAAATCATTTTGTAACTTTTGGCTGAACTATCACAGAAATTATGACAACCGGTAGTAGGCATTTTCAGTTAGGAGAAAAATTAATCTTGTTTTATTTACATTTAAAACCTGCATGACGTGTTTTTATTTTGAAAACACCAAACATTTTTATAATTTTATTATATGTTGATATCACCCTGCTGTCACTCTGATATGAAATATATCAAAGCTATGATCACTTTGGAACATTTATATAGGTATTTAGTATGAGTAAAGACAATAATATTTTAAATTATGTATGACATACCATGACTATTATATTATTGAAATTTGAATTACATTTATATGAAAACAACTGTGCCTATTTCCATTCCCAGAAACATTACTGAGTTCAGTGTTGCTTCTGTAATATTTTTTGATACGGGTCTTATGAGGATCTGTAAATGCTATTTAGCAAAAAATAATAGGGATTTTTTGAAGAGTAAATTTTAAAAAAGAACTACTATAGTAGTAATTTGGTTCTGTCAATGTTGGCAGGTTTTTTTGGTCAGAGACCATCAAAGATATTTGCCATCTGTTCAAAGGAAAAGAGTGTCTGGGGGGAGGCAGGTAGCAGGTACAGAGCATCAGAATTTTACCAGTTCATTAAGGTTCATTACTTTTACTGAAATTGTTCTTAAGCACAGAAAAGAAACCTTTTCATTTACTTCCAGTTATATTCTACATATTTACTTTTAGCTGAAAAGCTCTGTTAAATAAGGCAATATTTACTTGAGACATGTACATGAAAAACACTCCACTGATGATCACAAAGCGGTTGCAAAAATGAAGACTTTGTGTGCTCTGCCTTTTAGAGGTTTGTTTCAGTGAGGAAAGACACATGTGTGTAAATTTTTTAAATAATATATTTAATGATTGACATCATAAGCACATAGAACAAGTATGGGAATTCAAAGGCGAGAAAATGATTTACAATTTGGGAGATTGTGAAAAATGCAGTGGATGAGCTACCATTAGAATAGGTCTTTAGAAGTTACATTTTTATTCCTGTGTTATTTAACATTTAACATTCAACAAATTTTTGATCAAATTATTGTTGCTTAAGATGACTATGGAGTTAAGATTTGCATAAATTAGGCTCGATCATGAAAGTTACTACACTACTTATTTCTGCATTATAACATCAGAATTGTTATTAACTATATAAACAGTTTCTCTTTGTACTCAGATATGTGAGAACTCATTTTAAAGGTTGCCAGATTTTTTATTTGTATTTTTTCTTGTGACAGTGTTTGTGACTGACTGTGTGCCTGTTCCTTCCATTGTCTTCATTTGTGTAGGTTCTTCATCACCACACAATTCAGATGATGAACAAAAAATGAATAATTTTATAGAAAAGGGTATAGTATCTTTATTTTAAAGTACTTTCTTTTATTTATATTTAATTCATTTAGTTTACTTTGATTAGATTTTGACGTTTCATATCAAAATATTATTTTCAGTGAAGACCAAAAGCAGAAAGTTTTCCAAGATGGTAGCCAGTGATATAGGTAGGAAATAGAAATTTCTATTTTATTTCTAATCTTTGCTATATGCAATGCTAACCCAACACCAGAAAATTTATCCAATGCATTGCATCTTGTATATATTAATTTGTTGTTTCCTGTGCTAAACAATAATTATCTCTTGGGCTATGTCTCTTCTTAACTCACTGGGCCAATAATTATTAAAATCTTTTAAATTGGGATTGCAGTTCTTTCTCTTGACTTACAGTGTGAATTGTTCTGTTAACTTTTGTTTTATTTAAAAATAAAGCAGGGTTCAATTTATGCTATAAGTATCACAGTTTTATACGTTCAAGTTAGGCTTTGAAGTAATTTTTCATTTTAATTTTATTTGTATTTTTCTTCTACATTTACTCCATCTCATATTTTCAAAACCTCAAATTTCAAGGAAATAGTTTTCTAAAGGATTCACTCTTTTAATCTATAATCTATACCAGTTTGGGTTTATACACACATACACAGTAAAAATATTCATTACACTCATTCTGATTGTTTCTGTGGATATACTTTAAAATGAACTAAAATGAATTACTATCTAAGGTTCTCATAGTTTAAAACTGAGGAAAAAATATAATCAAACTTTGGGAACATCATCGAATTAGTTTTCTGGTCATAAAAAATTTGGATGTTCTCCAAATTTTTTAAAGTTTGAGAAAACACTGTTAGAAGGTAAATGTCACCTTTGATTTGCATCTAAACTCTTTGTTATACACTTCTATTATTTCTTTATCCCCAGGCCTTCTACCACATACTCCTTTGTGTGACTAAATTAGGTAAATTTCTAGGCAGCTAGAATAGGTTTACTTTTTCTCAATTTATAATGCTTAGTACATCGTTAAATTTTCAGAAATTCACAGAAATAACATCATGTTGTGTACATGTTGTAAATTGAACCCTGTTTAGTCATATTAATGGTGAATGACTATTAGCTCTTCTGGTCGTTTTTTACATTTTTACTCTTGGGCAAAGGGCTTTTCATTTAAAGAAAATCAATAATTTACCTCTTTGTGGCTTTTTTTAGTGAATCTGTTGGTAATGATTTTGTATAGCACTATAGCATAATACTGTTCAACGAATTTCCTTTATAACATATTCTGTCCTAAGAGTACATTAAAGGTTCTTTTATTGTGTCATAACGTAAAACGTTCAAAGGCCTTTCCTACATATATTTTATTAAGCAACTTTTAGGATTAAATTGCCCAGAAATTTTATCTCACATGAAAGCGACACAGAATTAAATTTGTTACAATATCTCCTGTCTTATTTTTGGTACTCAGGTTATATTTGATTTGTTAAAGGTATTGCCCACTTTCCATTTTTTTCTTTGTTTTAAATGGAATATGTAACTTGGAATACTTGAATTTAACTTTTTGAAAGATTTCAATAACAAATTTGTTAGAACAGGGACTATTATTTAGCTTTTTTTTTTTAGGATTGTTATGAATTCTTTTGCTTTTTGTCATGCCTGTTTCTTTAGTTACATTTTTTTAGGGAACATGTTAACTTTATCTTTTCAAAATCTGTTACTGTATGGCTATATATAGTTATTCTCAACCTTCAAGAATATTTTCTTCAATTTGATGGTAATTTTATTGTTTTCTGTTGGAATTGTTTGGTGTTTTTTCTTAATCCCAAGATTTTGGCATATAAAAGGAAAGATAGTGTCTTGATTTTTCTTTTTTCAAATGGAGACTGCCCCATTTTGAACAGTCAAAGTTTTGTGGTTCAAAAATGACACATTAGTTTATCTCTCTACATTAGTATCTAATTTTGAAATAATTAACATAAAGTATGCTATTCGGAAATATAAAATATCAATTGAAACATTAGAAGAAAGTTTATAGTTTTTCTCAGGGGACCCCCTCGGTCAAGACTGGTGTATTCTGTGGTGACATGTTGTGCTCCTTGAGCATTCTGAATACTGTGCCAATATCTGACCCATACTTGGTAAAATGTATATATCTCCTTACCCTCCTAAAGTTATCACCGCTCTACCTCAGTCCACAACACTTACAGCTGTAGACTAAAGTGAATATGTGGTGACCTCGTAAAGAAATGTGTAAGAATTAGTCTTAGAAATGCTAAGGTTGACAGTGGTAGAAGAATAACGTTGTGTGATGACTGATTGAATGATTTTGTCTCTAAGTTTCACTTGTTTGTTCATTGAGAGTGACCACTGCTGATATGAAGAAACTGTGTGTGTGTGTGTGTGTGTGTGTGTGTGTGTGTGTGTGTTTTGCTATTGGTGGTGCAGGGAGCTGTTCACACTTTCAGTAGTTTAACCCAAACATGGAGAAAAAAAAAAATCAACCTTTTTTTTTTTCTTCACTGCCTTCTTAGTACAGCTGAGGTAACTGAGACCAGGGCAATAATTTCTTTAATGTACTCATCCATTATAATTTTGCTGGCATTGTACCAGCCGTTCATAAATAAAGTTTTCTTAATAGATAAGTTATCTCATTTAATGCTCTGAGTAATTTCAGTGAGCTAGTGAATGTTATTTCCCTGTTTTATAAATGAGGGAACTAACAAATTACATATGTGTTGGTTACATTGCTAGCAAAAGACAAAGTGGAATTTACACCCAGGTAACCTAACTCTTCTGTCTGTCTTCTTTAACGCTGTGCTGTATTACCTCTTAATACAGCTTAATGAAGGCAGTAAGGATTCAAAAACAAACCTATCATGCTATTCATAACTAGATAACTTGGCATGGCCCTGTTCTACCACATGGTATCTGGCAACACATGGCTTGTTGTCAAGTTCTGTCCTAGCATCAGATATTGTATGCTACTTTGGTACACATCACCTAGGCAGAACATACAATGCCTGGAAATCTACCTTCCTCAAAAATCAGACTCAAAAGAAAGGTAACTAGGGCAAACTGTGGAGTACCCACTACCCAAAGCCTAACTTCATACTTGTTTTCTCATTGACAGCTGAATCAGGTGAATGATTCTGACAATGACTTCATTACTCACATATCAGAAGAGCATTCTAAAAAGAAATCATTTTGGTACAAAGTACAGCAGAATGTATTATAATTATAAAATCTACAAAGAAAGTTACATACATGTAATGCACACAGTAATTTGTTTTGCCTGTTTATGATAAATTTTTGTTGATAGAATCTTAAACATTTTCATAATCGGTAATGTTTCCTATACTATTAACAATTTCTATAACTCATCTAGAAAATATCAACTGTTTATTTGCTCGATTTTTATATTTTATAAAAATTTAAGAGTGAAACTCAGCAAAGCTTTTTTTTTTTGGTGGGACTGGGGTTCGAACTCTATGCTTCACACTTACAACACTTCAAAGTAGGCACTCTACTGCTTGAGCCATTCCGCCAGTCCTGTTATTTTTAATTTATATAAAAATAATTGTAGAATATCTTTTGTTAAAAAAGAATAAAACTTTGGTGATATCCTTAATGAAGAAAATATGGCCCATGTACTAGCATTATCTGGTAAATTTGAACCATTTCTTTCAAGATTCCTATTTCATTATTATTCTGTTTCATGCTGAAAGTAGATGTCTAGCTGGATTCCATGTCTGTGACCTGTCCCATTTTCCAATTTAATTTTCATATAGTAAGAATGATTACCAAAATGCATGATTACATGAAGTTAGGGAAGGAAATAACACTAAAAAGATTAAAGAATAAGATTCAGAATTATAGTAACTTAAATAAATGCTATGCTAAACAAATAGAAATAATAGCTCTGTTTTAATGAGTACCTCTCAAGTTCTAGACATTACACTATATAATTTTTCATATGGTATTTGTTAACATGGGGCAGATTATACCATCATAGCCCCTGTGTTTTTCTAGTTATGAGAGCATATTTATTGAAGTAATGATTAATTTATTTTCTCAGCAAAAGCTGAAGTAATTTTGAAGTCAGTTTAAATGGAGTGCTGTTTTCATTAGTTCTTTATCACTCCCAGTGATTTCCTTTTCAAATTAAAGTATTCTAACACAACTAAAATCTGTTCCTTTTCATTCTATTCTAAATCACTAACTCATTAAGTTACAGTGTTTCAAATTTCTAACCCTTTTATTTTTCAAGAGAGGAAATTGAGTCTTACAGAAGTTAAGTGTCATGTTCACAATAATACCCTACAGTAATGACCAACTCTGGACTTGAGCCACACTTTAGGCCTTTTTGCTTTAGTCATTTTTCAGCTAGGATCTCTTATTTTTGCCTGGGGCTGGCTTCAGAGCATGGTCCTCTTACCCACACTTCCCATGTAGCCGGAAATATAGGCATGCACCACCATACCCAGGTTGTTTGTTGAGATGGGGGGTCCACTAACTTTTTGCCTATACTGCCTTGAATAGTGTTCCTCCCAATCTACCTCCTGAATAGCTGGGATTACAGGTATGCACCAACATGCCCAGCTCTAGAAGTTTATCATGAAAGAAAATAAAAGTAAAATGTTGAGTAGTACCATTTCTACAGGTAATTTTAATATTTTCCACTTTAAAAGGAAATTGTTGTTTATCCTTAATTGTTCAAAAACTGTATTTTCTAAGCACATATTTTAAAGCAATTATACAAATCCAGGTTCCTCCAATGAATCTTTTTTTTGTCAAGATGACTGAAGTCTGAAAAGTATTGACACATTATGTATTCAAGTTTAAATTTCATTTCTGAATGTATTTTCCATCTTCTTTCATAATAAGTTAAACTTAAAAGATTGTTTGTGTTTCATATTACAGTATTTAGTGTGTTTTCACTTATCTCTCAACAAAACCTCTTTTTTAACATTATGAGGAGATACAATGATCTTTCAAGAGATAAGTTGCTGTTTGCTTCCTAACAGATTTAATCTGAATTGCCTTACACAGTGCCACAGAGTGGATGGCTTAAACACAGAAATGTATTTTCTCTCAGCTCTGGAGTCTTCATGTCCATGAGCACAGTATCAGCAGTTTTGGTTTCTTCTGAGGCGTTTCTCTGGCTTACAGACAGTAG